AGAATTCATTGTTTTGATTAAATTAGCGACACAATTAAATAGAAGCAGTGGCAATTTACAGAAATGATTAAAATAACTCAAATTGATTTTAATAATATTATAAATTTAAGAGTGTACACGGTTAATATCTAATATTATATATATATATATATCAACAAAACAACAATATTATTAACAAATTTTTTGATTCTTGTACATCAGTATCGTAGATATGATAGATATTATGATAGATTGATGATCGAGAATAAAGAAATTCAGATTATTGTCAATATTCTATATCATTCCATCAATATTTTAACCGCACACGATTAATAATATGTTAATATTTCTTAATATTGATAGTATAATTATAAACCACAAAAGAATTTTTTTTTAAGACTGATTAAACAATAATTTAGAATAAATATCTGCATAATAAAGCAGGTACGTTCGATTAAAGTAAGAAAAACGTAATATATGTTCAAAAAACAAGAAATTAGTGAAGACATAGTTGGAAAGTTGTTTCAAAATTGTTTGACAAAAAAAATAAGGACTATAATATCGAAGCTGGTAAATTATTTTTTTGAATATCAATCAATTTTAAAAGCTTTTTTGTATATCAAGATCATCGAAAAGATGTTCCTTAATGTAAAGAAATACTGCTTTTTTTTTATATGATCATGAATCTGTGATAATAACAATAAATATCAAGTTTCTTAATAAAATGACTTTCTTTTAATGAAGTTCTTATTTAAAATTCTAATAATTAGACGGAGAAAAAATATTTCACTTAATAATAGATGTAAACATATAAAACTAGTACTTCGACAATTAATTTATACAAATGGTATTATTATTTTAGTGCGAAAGTTAACAAATATATAGCTGTACTTTTTATAACAAGACAAATCTCGGTTCAAAACAATTTGTTTTTAGTATTTAAATATTTGCGATAAGAGAGGAAGGACGAAATGAGATTCGTGTGAATTTTATCGTATGGAAAATTTAGAGATACACGACTAATTCATTCGCTTATCTATTAGCGAGCTTATAACCCGATGGAAGATAAGGATAATACGTTGAGCTGCTCTCGCATTATTAGCAAATATTAAAATTTCTAGTTTTCTGGAAATTCCTAGTTTTCTGCTTTTTAGTTTTCCGAGCTGATGATATCAGATACATTGATAACGAACAAGACAAAAAAAAGGAGCTTCAAGTATCAAAGGTAGCAACGATGGGAGCTGCGTGCGTCAAATAAATAATGATTATACAATATATTATGTACGCTGGAAATTTCAGTTTGCGAATCACACGAGCTGCTGTTTCTGCGAATATCAATTTACGGCTTCAATATTGAACACACGTAAAAGTGGGCAAAAAAAAAAAAAGGAATAATAAACATAGAGAAGTATTTTCTGCGCGCATATAATAATTACAGTCAGCTTTCCGAGAAACTCTTAAGCAAAATCATATAAATATAACGTATGGAAATCTATTTTACGAAGTTTGCAAGCGAGTGACTTTTTGCCATTAGGTTCAATGTCACACACACATGATGTGAATATATTCGTCACGTCGGTTCAATTAACATGCTCCCTTCTCATCCCGCAGCAATTGATGAAGGCGTATGTAATTAAATCGATTCTCGCAACTGAATCCGTTATAATATAACAGTTCAGACGCGGCAATCCATCTTCCCGAGTCTAAGTTACGTAACTCACTCATCTGGCGAGATGAACGCGTGATGTAACTCGGAATTTCTACTACATGCAATTATATTCTACGCTTTAAAAAATAAATTCAATCGTTCCGTGTTACTGGATATAATATAAAATAATCTTCTATGTGTTTATTCAATTTATCTTCATAGAAGGTATGTGCGATGACAATATATTCTTTTTGTCGATTTAAAATCAAGAAAAGAGAGAGATATTATAGTATTCAGAAAAAAAAGAAATGATGACAATTATTGTATAAAAATGTCAATTGAGGGGGAGGGGGGGGGGAAATAAAGACCTAATTACAAAATCTTGATTTTAATCAAAATAATTTACTACTTTTTTATTGTACATAAATGGGTATAGTATCAAATGAACTTATGCAATGTCTTTAAGAAGTTGCATGTTACGATACTTCTTTATTACAATCAATATTGTATAAAAAAACTAATTTCCGGAAAAAGAGCCTAAGCAGAATTGTGCCTTTATCCTCCTCAATTATATATAAATTAATATAATTTTTTTTTAATTGAATAAATTATTTTGTAGTTATTGCAACTATTCTTACTTCAAAAGTTCTTACTTCAAATACTTGACATAATTTAAGAAATGTGATTTTTTTAGTTATTATAAATGAGTTAGATAAAGATTATTCTATCAATCATCAAAAGTAAACTAGGTACTTAACTTCACAATTTATCTGCACTTGTCTAAATAGCACTTGTGTCCTTAGGCTTTTGAGAGAAATCATGATGCCTTCTATAAAGATGACAAACACTTTTGAATTTTGTCGTTTTTGTAAATAAAAAGAAGCGTCTTTTACAAAGAAGATTTAAAGTAACACAGTTTTGATGATCGAAATTTGAAAAAGAAAATGTCTTATTTTAAAATTGTTTTATTTTAATTATTTTAACTGATCGAGATAAACTTGATTATATTTCGAATTATGTCACTTTTGATAAATTATTTCGAGTTTGTTGTAATTTTTTTTAAATAAAAAAAAATTTTATAGAATATCACAACTTAAAAAGGTTTTTTTTAAAAGTTGTGAAACGAAAATAATGAAAATAATATTATGTTCCTAAGAGTATATTCTTTTTATCAATATTAGATTATTTCAATAATTATTTCAATAATTTAATAATTTTAATAATTTTCTTATATGTTAAAAAATTTTATATGTTAAAAAGTAGTTTTTCTCTCTTTTCTGAAAAACTTTTTTAATTTTTTAAATTATGTTATTACTTTTAAAATAAGAGAACAATATAAAACTTGTACAGTTGTCACTTTTATAGTTGCCATCACTGTGTTTTTCCAGTGAATCTGGAAGAGACGTAAGCAGAGCGCTTGTGTGATTTTAGACGATCGCATTGTTCAGTCCGCGACATAACGCGGTCGCATTGTCAAATCGCGAACGCAATCGGAATATTCTGTTGACGCAAATCTGCATATCGCAATTCAATCAGCCCGCATCCGCCCGACGTCTTGTTCCGTCGCGCGGTCGTGCGTGCGCTTAATTAGATCGATTCCGCCATGCCAAATTTGTCTTGGCGCAGCCTCGGTTCGCCAAGACGTAACGATCCATCATGGTCTTGGTAGGCGCGTTCACCATTTAACCTGATTCTCGCTGGATCAAGGACGAAGATGAGCATTCCTCGGACGAGGGTGTCGCCGCCGCTGATCAAGATTAATCGTATGCAAATTACGCGCTCGTCCGCTGGAGGATTCCGCGAGTTTTGGAGGACTTCCAACGACGAGAGGCAGGCAGCCACCGATGCGACGGTAAGAAAGATCGAGCGTCTCTTCGAGATCACTAGCGGTAATTGAAAAGACACGGGAAATTCTGTTAGGTGCGAGAAATCCTGCTCTCGATAAGAAACGGTGCTCGATATCGATTTTTCGAACGATGTGATACTCGGGAAACTATATCCGGAAGGATGTTCGATGTAGTATTTTTCGACCGAGCGGGATTGATCAATTTTTCATTGTAAAAAGATCTTTCATAGAAAAGAACTCCTTCCACTTCCGCTAAAAATTTAATCTATACGAGAATGTATAATGTTATGAAGAAAGCCAGTCGCAAACAGCAAACTTATTCACAACAAATTATATTATTACATATAGTACTACAAATTATATTACTACTTATTATTACATTAACAAATTCTTTTCTTTTAAGTTCGGACTTCTACGTAATAAGCTCAATGATGAAAGAAAAAGAGAATTATGGTAAATGTTTCTCGGTAAAATGTGTCCATTCTCATAATGTAATTGACCTTTCATTACAAATAACCCTTTATTCAACGAAAATATTTCACTGTAATTGAAAAATCTTTAATCCAAATGCAATTATTTCATATTTGCGTCTTCAAGTTCCATTCACTGTTTACCACTTATAATTAATTCTCGCAGAACTAAACGAGAGAATATCGTTTATTCACGGATTGTTTCAGATAATAATGGAAAAAAAAAGAATAAAGACAATATTTTTTAAAATTTCCGTCTTAAACATTTGATTGCATTCGAAATGATTAGGGTTTGCTATTCTTTCCAAAACACATAACGTTATCTTGTTTTTCATTTTAAATTCAAGAGTCTCTAGTGTTAAAGGTCTTTAGGCTGAAAGATTTTTAGTTTCTTTCTAAAGGATTTTAATCTCAAATACATGCAGTTAAGTCATTAATATTAAGTATTGAGTATCTCATTGTTTGTATTGGAGACTCAAAATATTTCTTTAGGTTCCAGTTACGATTTAGTAAAATCAAATAAGTGTTCTGATTTCAATTTCGATTTCTTGACTAATAAAGAATACTGAGATTGTAAAAATTACAGTTTTTTAACGATCATTTTTTCGATTATAATTACTTGCGGTAGGGAGGAGTTTAAAGTTTAAAACAACTTTTTTTTATATTTATTCTATTAAATTGTATTACTACCTTCCTAAGAAATGTTATAAATATCTTTGATTAAAATTGAATTAATCATTCAGAGCACACAAAAATTCTTTTTTCTAAACTATATATTATATACTATATACTATAATAGAAGAAATATCTCAGAAAGAAAAAATTGGAAATTTTTTATCAGATCAAGACGACTAAGGCTATCAGGTCATTGTCGATGTGGTGAGTGTAAACCCGGCATTAATGTTTGCCAGGCAGGCTTGGACGAACATAAGTAAGCGATCGTCACTACGGATACGCACTAACACATACATTAGTCACGCAATGTGACGAGTGAGGTAGGTAGTAGACGGTGGTATACATAGAGGTTCTAGTACCAGCGGAGTCAGTGTAAAACTGCCTTCTGTCCGTAACGTGTCGAACCATAGTCAGTTGGGTAAACCGTTGTACAGTTCGATCAGAATCCTTCTTCAACTCAAAAGAGCCCTACAGAGAGAGAAAGCGCGCGACGACTTCTGTCTGAGAACTTCCTTATCGCGAGGAGTTACGCCAGATACCCTTGAAATCCTCCACTCTGTTTCTGTACAAGAAAGTAAGTGCGATCGCTGGGTGGAAAGCCTCAGCGACAATCGATTTTGACGATTTAATAAATCAATTTTAATAGACCATTAGAAATAAATTTTGTTGTTAACCCTTCATTATTCGCATGAGAGGTCCAAAACAAGCCTGCCTGATAAATTTCCTAAATATATCAATGCTATTTATACATACATTATTATATGTTTAGCAAGATTGTTTCTCAATCAAAAAATATTTTGGCATTATCTTTATCTAAAGAATGTATAGAACATTGTGAATCTTCATTTAATTGTAAATTATCGAAGAGAACGATGAAAATTAATATAATTTTGGGATGTGTCAAAAATACCCCAAGTGAGTTAAATAAATTTTGCAAGTAATATAGGGTTAACTGCGAGTGTTATGTAATGCAGGATTTATGTAGAATTATGTAGAATTATGTAGTAAATTTTTTGTTTTTATTTTTCGTTAATAACGGATCTCTCGTCACTGGAATCTGGTTTAACGTTGTACGCATCTGATGCGACCGCATGCATTCAATTAACATGAACGTTCCTTCCGTGTTCTGTAGCAATTGATGACATCTAATTAAATTGATTCTCGCAACTGAATTCTGAGATAATACGTACGTAGACACGACATTCCGCTTGGGATCTTTAATGAATGATTGATTTGATAAGTCGAATTGATCTCGTTTCTGAAATCGTCAAAAATAAACAAAAAAATATATATATCAAAGATATTAAAAAATAAAAAAGAAATAAAAATAATATTTAGGACAAACAGAACAAATGCGATTTAGATTATGAAATATAAAATTGCTAATTATCGTTTAACATAGTATTTCATTCTATTTCACTTCGACAATCGGTCCTCACGTAAGCCAAAAAAGTTGTAGGTTATTGATGGAATAAAAAAATCGATATAAATCATATTGACGGAAGTTATTTAATCTTTGCGTTTTCTCTATTTCTACTTGTTTTTACGGATGTAATCTCTGCAATACGAGTCACGGAAGTGAGCGCGGAATATTGGAGGAAATATGCGAGTTTATATATGCGTGCAGAACAATGCGGATGTCGACAGGTTGCTGAGACTTATCGGCGAGCATTATCTGGCACGATATCGGGAAGTGGATGGCATGAGTCGGTCAGACTGCGATTATATGCGTACGTGACTCTGGAAAATCATATGCCATAAATTTGCGGGGTTGGACCCCGAGGTTGTGGAGGGCGCGTTATATGCGAATAAATCAAGGCCAGTGGGCAGCTCACGCCGAAAAAATTCAATCAAACAAACGTGTCATCGGACAAATGTTCAAAACGACTCATTCATCGGTGGACTTACAAGTAGATACTTGACGAGATCATTATTACATTTATCGAGCGAAGACAGAGAGGTGTGTGTATGAGAAAGTGAGGGAGTGAGTGAATGAATGAGAGAGAGAGAGAGAGAGAGAGAGAGAGAGAGAGAGAGAGAACAAGGAGTGAGAGAAAAAGGAGAAGAAAGAGAGAGAGAGAGAGAGAGAGAGAGAGAGAGAGAACGTGGTGTGAAAATATTAATCAGTAAAATGTTTGTTTACTTAAGTAACTAGGTTAATTAGATTGAAAATTCTGTCTATTAATTTTTACACGTGATACATTATTCGCGAAAATGTTAGACAATTCTTATATTAGACTTCATGATTAAAAACTGTTAAGTTTTATTTCACTATTTATCTGGAAAATAATGAAAAAAATAATTTAATTTTTTTCTTATTCTAATTTTTAACAATGAAATACAATATTACACATTTTTATATTTTAAAATCTTTGCTCCCACAAAGTAAATATTTTATGTAGAGGCACTTTTACAAAGAACTGTTAAATTCTTAATCGAGATAAAATCGACACGTTTGGTACTTTTTCCACTTTTAACACAACTTCAATTGGTAATAAAAGCAATTAGAAAAAAATTCGCTGAAACGTGCAACACAGAAATGAGTAACGTAACGTTGAGGCCACTTGAAATATCACACTGCAATTATTTCTTTGTTCATTAAACCGAGTGTTTTACAGTCCTTTGTGACTAATGAATGACCGTATAGATTTTCTTCGGATACGAAGACTTCGCAAATATATAGAAATAGCTCTTCTAGTTTTAGTTTCACGGTCGCATTACGCATGTATGTTTCACGCGTTGATATGTGGTCTCAAAATAGCGATAACCAGCCTCAACCCATCCAAGCTGAATAACTGGCGTGTTAGATTTATGCTTTCTGCGTGTAGATAGCAGCTCGCGTCTTCCATATATTATACATTAATAACGCAACGTTGCGCCAGATTGTTGATTATTGTTCAATTAGTAAATCGTATAGTTTAATTTCCCGCTCCGTACATTATATAACGTTTAAGCGAATATTTCCTAATGGAACCGCATTTCATCTAATTGGGTTAGATATCAAATATTAATTAATTGACGGTATAATTTTGACCGGAGCGCATAGCAAATCACGTACGACGTCACGAGAATTGATTTGAATTTGATTTTTGCGTGAATTTCCTACGCAAATTTGTCCGCTCGTCATTTCGTCGGCAAATAATTGATAATCAAAATTAACTATCGATGTAACGACGTTAATTTCTCTGCGCGACTCGCAGCTGGGACTTTAAATGATCTGACGCGACCGAAAATATCGGTGGCTAATTCCCGTCGCGTATTTACTAAGGGCAAACGCATTTTTCACACCATGACGTAGGCTTCATAAAAAAATGTGGTTTTTTTCCAGCTGGTTGCACGCAGCTGAAAAAAAACTTCGAAAAACAAGCCGACAATGAATTTGTTTTACGTTGTCGTAAGTAATCGAGTACACTTTTATCGCGTCATTCGATGATCGCGTTCAAATATCAATCGAGAACGCGCTCAAATTGCTATTTATGCAACTTTTGACCGTAAATTTTGCGAGAAACGCATTATAGTCAGATACGTGGAGATTGGTTTTTTTCTTCCGCCTCTATTAAAAATCTTCTAATAAAAATCTGGAGCTCGAATGTGTATCTTAACACATATACTCGTAATACAATGATATTCCGATCCTTTATTGCACATACGGATCGGTTATCCCGAATTAATTTTCATTACTTTTATAAATATACAAAAAGTTAATAAATAATTTTTATATATATTTTAATATTCCATAAAGTAAGTACATCAATGTAATTTTAAAAAAGTATAAGATATTATTTAGTCAAATTAATTCTTATTTCAAAGAAAAGAAGTGTGCAGAATATAAATTGTGTACATTAAGGGTGAAAGTTATAAAAAATGAACAAATGAATTTCCATTTTTATGATCGTCTATCATAGAAATGGAAATTATACGTTTTTATAGAGGTATATACGCCTAACATATCAACATTATATTGTACGCGTGTTTCTAGCGCAAAACGTTATTTTGTATATAAAATTCCAATTTATTTAATGGAATCTTGAAAATACATATTGCATGTAAAATAAATGTAGGCTACAATATTATATGATTATGCTGGGTCGGAAAAACCCAGTATAATCATGTAATTTCACATAAATATTTTTTTCTTGTGTACTTTTCTTTTTCGTAGAATTTTCGGAAATTAATAAAATATAGCGAATTAATCGAAACTGATTGTCTCTCATCCAGACAATTATTAAAGGATCTCTATAGCTTCTTTTAGCGTCACTTTGGAAAATAGCGTCTGAAACGCGGTCGAGTGACGTCATATTACCGAAAGAAGACGAACGAAGCTTTACGAGAGGAGGATTTCAGAGTCGAAAGGAGACAGCTCCGTCGCTAGGTGACGTTTTCTCGACATCTATCGCGCTCGTCTTGTCCCGTTTCTCCAAGCCTTCTTTCCGGATTCGACTCCCGGTAGTTGGCCCTTTCGAGATCTCAAGGTGGGAAACGCGAGATGCATGTGTCGCGGGTGGTTTAGGGAAGTCGGGGGATCTTATTGAATCTGCTGTAATCCGCGAGCGCCCGACGTGTATTCGGATGCTTTTGACAGCGCTCCGCTTTGCTCTCGCGGGCGGATTATATTGATTATATGACGCAACGCCGGCTTTCTCAGAACGATATCGATTTTACAGCGCCCTGTCGACGCCGTAGGCCTCGACGAGCCCCGATAAGCAAGCTTTGATAGTGGTAGCTAGAATTTCGTGCGCTAACGCCCGACTTCATCAACATGATTATCGCTCTTGTAACGCAAAATAATTCTCAAATTGACTCGTTAAATGTAGAAATTACTAATCAATTTACTGTCTTATATCCCTTTTCTCAAGAATATAATAGATAAAGAAAAAGGTACATATATGTTAATAATCAAATTCTAGTAAATTAGCATATTGGATTTAAAAATTGTAATATTGATAGTTAATTTTTATGTGACGATTTATTGTCTAATAATTATACTAATTTACAAAGTTTTGTGCAAGAAGAAGATTGTTTCTAAGATAATTTTCAACGCTTGAATCTGCTATCAAAATATTTCTGTTAGGTTCGACTTTCGAGATATGAGAAGACAATTTTTTATATTTATTGAAATTAAAAAACAAATCGGAAATGTTTGATTGGATGTTTAACTTCTGTCTTTGTATGACTACGAATCGATTTCACGTATTAAAATTCAGCGATAGTTATATAGCATAATGTTTGTTCGCGTTACTTGAAATTCCTTACAAGAATTTTTACACTTAAAACGAGATAAATGTAATAAGTATATTCGGACGTTGAAAAAAGAGGCAGCGAAGATGCTGAGCACAAAAAGTATAAGCCTATTAATTTCATTTCACAAACCTATTAATTTCATTTCACTAATTTCATTAATTTCATTTCAATATTCTATTTAACATTCATCATCAAATTCTGGTGAATACCTTACTCATTATTTGTCATATTTAAATTATTCAGAAAGAATTGCTATATCTTAAAACTTGACATGCTACATATCAAGCATTATTTGTTATCAAAATAATGTCTTTAATCATATGACAAATAACGTCAGTTTGTTTATTAGAATCTTAAAAATGACATGCTACGTCTTAAAATTGACATATTGTATCTTAAAGAATTCGGCCTGGTGGAATTTTTCTAGCGGCAGATTCAAATTTACCGCGCCAAAATAAAAAAATTTATTTTTTTTCCTGTATTAAAAAATTTATTTAAAATTTATAAATTAATAATAAATTTATAAATTTATAAACTAATTATAAACTAATCATTACAAAGCAAGAAAAGATCAAAATTCGCCCCGTGTTTGCTACATAAGTCGCAAAATGTTGCAAAAGAAAGGGCCTTGGGCTTAGCGAGGGTAATTTCAAAAGTATCGATTCGTCGGCCGTTCCGTCAAGCGTGTTGTAACGGCGTGCCGTAGGCATACTGCAGCATACAGGAAGGGCAAGCCTGTATATTTCGTGATCTATATATCTGAACGGCAACCAGAAAAGTCGCCCAAGCAATCAGTCAGACTTGTGTGTTCGTGCGCAACTCGCGCTCCCAGCCGGACTTTGAGTTTCAGTCTTTCCGTCTATGCGAGACCATGGGGAATTCTTTGGAACAAACTATCGATCGCAATAACTGGTAGGTTTCTCCGGCTGATGCGAGTGAATCCGAGCAGATGCGATACCACGATATTCTGATAACCGATATCGCGCCAGGGAGTCTTTTTCGGTGTCGTATTTTTATATTTTTATGGTATTGATAGGGAACATTGATAGAACTCATAACATCGAGGCGCGATATAATCGAATTTGAACATTGTGAAAGGAAAACGTGATCGCCTTTGCAAGTTCGTTTTTCAGCCACTTCAATCAATTTTTTGAACATTGAAGACAAAAAGATATTGGAGTAAAATTAAAAAAAAAAATAATTTTGCTTTTCAAATAAATGTTCAGTGACATTAATATCAGAGCTGCCAAAGCTATCAAAATGACTAGGCTATTTTTTTCTTCAATTTGTAACGGTGCATTTTTTAAAATTTTCCTTTCGTTACAATATATAAATGATTAAATTGATCAATTTATTGTTCCGCTTTATTCCTTTTTTTAAGAATGTAAAGTCATTTTCCATGACTTTTATTGGAATATGTAAATATTAAAAATAATTAAATTAATTTATTATTCACCTTCATCCATTGTTTTGAGGACATAAAATGTAAAAATAGATAAGTATATGTTAACAGTCGATTCTAGTAAATTAGCACATTTAGTTTTAAAATTGCAATAATGATAGTTATCTATTTCATATTATAGCCTCCTATCACATTCTTAGATTTTTATAATATTGATCAATATTAATATGTATATATATATATATATATATATATATATAATGCTCTGGTGCTATGTAATAACGCTCCGGTATGTTGTACTTCGTAAGGAACATCATGCTTCATAAGGAATTCATTTTCAATAATGCATTCTTTGAATTTTAAGATAATAATAAGATGCCTATAATTAAATATTAAAACGTCTAAAACAGAAAAATCTAATTTCCTACAAAAATACCCGCGAGATAAATAAAATTGGTATATCAGGCTTTGGAAATGAGCAGCTTAATAACAGTGATAAGTCCGCAGTTTACATTAACTTTAAGAATAGCCAATTCATTCGTTTCAAGTTAAAAAATCTCTCACAAAAGTAACTGCTTATTAAATACTTGTAACTTAATATTTTAAAAGGCTGTGTAACGAATATGCTTATGTCATTGGAAGAATATAATAAGAACACTAAGATATTTGAGAAGTATATTAAGGTGTGCGTTCACGGACAAAGTTAAATCACTCCTCTGCCTTTGAAATGTTTCGTAAGAATGTAAATATTATGCCTATATATCGCCTTATCGATGTTATGTAAGACGCTCCGTTAATATTTTACGTATTAATGAAAATGTAGGACACAATTCTATGCAAATATATTTTATACAAAGTAAACAATTCTATAATGTTATATAAATACATAATAGATGCTATTGATATAAATCAATAATCTCAATTATTAATGAAGCTTCGCTGTTTAATAGTCTCATTATTCGAGACCCTATTGGACCTACAAATCAATATCCGTTGCCATTAATGTAATATTAATTATCATTTAGCGGAAAGAATGATGAATCATCCATAGAATTAACAATTAAATAAGAATTTTATCAATAATTATATATCAACTAATTTGAATACCATTGTATTCTGTTAGAATAGATATGTAATAAAGCGCACTTATCTGATCATAAAAATATAATAGATCTAAATAAAAGAAGATTTTTAAAATTAAATCTTAATTTAAATATTAATTTATTATATAATTTTAAATTAATATTTAATTTTAAAAAGTTAAATTAAATTAAAGTTTAAATTAAATAATGTGTGTATGATTACAAAATTAATTTAAATTAATTTAAGAATTTTAAATTTCTTTTTCTTTCCTTAAATTAAAAAAATTTTGAAAGGAAATAAGTAATGATCTTAATATCCTGCATAAAAAAAATTAAGATTAAAATGGTATCGATGCAATATGACTTTTTTTTTATGTAAGATGTCCTAAAATGCACTTGATGTTCCAAAATGCACTTTCCACGAAAGTTTCGCGATTCTATGATGACGTAGAGATATTTCTTTTAGCAAAGGTGTTAAAACAGCTGAGAAAAAATGAGTTTGTCATCTTGTCCTCCGCGTTTTCACAAGATATCGCGACAAGAAAATGTGTCAAGGTTATGAAGACGTTGATATTTTTATTAAGGAGAGAAGGGAAATATGATCCCGCAATATCCAGAGTTTCCATTTCTTTACCCCTTTGATGAACATTATGAGTTTAGCCGACATAGAGGCTTCTTCCTGCTAATATCGAATACCTACATCGATCATCGTCACTCAAGCCTGAACTTTTGTGTAAACGAACGATGATTAAAAGATTATGTACCAGCCATTTGCTGATCACGTATAATTTTGTCGGAGCTACTTACATATATGGAACAATCGGAATAATCGAGTTATTTAAATACGACAACAAATGTAAAGCGCGAGAATGTCGACTTCAGATATAAACAGACAGACAATGCGTTCTTCGCGAGAGATCTCTCGAGTGACTTTTCGCGACGTCTTCTCGGTCCGGTTGAATTCCAGGGGGAGATTCTGCTCACAAGACTTTACTTAATACTCGCCAACATTCGTAAGAGAAACGATCAACAATGCCGTAGGTAAGCCCACACGGATAAAGTGACACGACCACAGAAATTGAAAATGCGGGGAATGTCGCGGATATGTTTCGTCTGTCCGACGAGATTTCTCGGTCGCGATGTTTAACCGAGATATTTCGAGATAAAGAGGAAGAATTGCTGCGGTCTGCATTTTCTCACGAAGATCCCCGGTGTCTAGGCGCGCATCCCTCACGTATTTCATGGACCCCGGGGGCGTTTGCAGAATTCTTGTTTGCGACGGGGGAGGAAATCGGGGGAAGAAGGAAAGAGGACGAAGAGATGGAGGAGTGAGAATTCGCGCAAGAGAGGAGTCGTCGAAGACTCGTCGACTTCTTCTTCACTTCTTCGCGCGCAAAAGTTCGAAATACAGCCCCGAGGTGGCGAGTAACGACAACGGCGGAGATGATTGATTGCAAAGAGCGCGCGGTGCTCTTCGAACGCCACAATGGGGACCAGAAATATGAGACCGGAATAAAATTCATAGCCGTTGCCAGGGGAGACGTTAGGCCGCGATTGAGATGCAAATAAGAGCGAGACACCCGGTAGCGGTAGGCGACTTCGTGGCATCTGCGTAACTCATTCGTACCGACGACAGAAGCGTTTGTGGAAGAGAATTTTTTATGAGCTCAGGAAGCCGCTATCTGTGCTTCGAAGTTTTCGGTGTCTTCGAGGAAATTTTTTCGACGAGTGGGACGCCCGACAAGGATCTTTATTCGTATCGCGAATTAACTGTTTATTTAAAAGTCACGTAAAGAATATTTTAGGAAAGTAGGCTACGTGAAATGTATAGAGATATCTATGTAGATCGATACCTATTTTAACCTTCAGCTGACATGCCACAATTTTGATTTTCTTCCTATACTTTTTTTTACTTTAATTTACCGTACAATTATTTTTATTCTACATTCAGAAAAAAGATATCGATGGCACTTTAGAGGTGACAACTATATAAGTTTTATGTAAAATTTATGTACATAAGTGAATAAATTAGGATAGAACAGGGCTAATTAAGCCAAGGGACAAGTTGGGAAATGCAAATATCTAAATAATTAAAATATATATAAATTGCATAAGATAACACAAAGATGGAGATTTTTATGCCAAATGTAACAATTCGTGTTCGGTTGTCAACAGCCGAATGCGCTTTTTAAGTAAGAGAACGATACATAGAATTAATGTAAATAGTCGAATAAACTAAAATGTTTAATAAATAATTTTAGCAATGATTATAAAATAGTTCATTCAACTATATGTATGTATGGACATTAATTCTATAGATGTATAAAACTTGTCATCATTGTAGTTACTAATGTAACTATATTTTTTCTCCAAGTTGTAATCCTTATTCTAATTTTAATAAAATAATTTTGCCTTTTTTTCGAGTAACCGCGATGGTTAAAGTTTACAACTAAATTAATGAGATCCATGTTTATTGTTAGAAAATGTTTAAAACTCGAATTCCCATAAGTATAAAATTGCCACTCCAAACTGTAGTGATTTTAATCTCACCTGTAATTATATATATATTATATATATATGTATATATATCGTCATCATAATGTTTATGCATCTTCTTTCATTAATCGTAGTACGATCTTTTCTTCTTTCAGTTAAATTTACCAGCGGATGGATATCGCTCTCGTCGGCTCGAAAGGCCGTTAAAGGTATTATTCGTTAGCGTGGAAACATAGTCCGTGCCCGATGAGTGTGAGTATCGTTTCGCACGGAATATTCCTAATTTCGTTAACTGTACATTATCCAATTACGCGCAATCATTTTCCACGTGATCGCTATTATTCCGATCGCGCCCGGCATATTATCGTTCGTTTTCCGAAAACGATTCGCCGTTCATAGCGATTTGGATCCGTACGATTTAGATCCACAGAATCTAATCGTTGCTTTTTTTTCTGCAAAGCGAATCAAGCGCGGCTAATGATTTTTCCTTCTTTACGTATCACGATTACGTATCGCAATTGCCACCTAACGGAACGGTGACTCTCTCTTTTTTTCCAATGATTAAGTGCACACGTTTTGTGGCAATCGATCGTGTGTGACTCACGAAGGAGTATAAGGGAACTCGGCATGCCCGTACCTTTCTGATCTCATTATCGTGATCGTGTCGAAGCGATTCCGTAGAAAGAATTAAATCCGACAAAAGAGTCGCGAGAATGTCGCTACCATTACGGTATAAATCGACCGCTATGTATACGTACGATGTTGCACGTACCTACTACAGCTGCATCGCCTGTTCGTTCCTTATTGATCGCGCTACAGGGCTTTAAGCGCCGTAAGAAACTACATAAATTAATCATGAGACGAGAGAGACTTGCCGCGGGCTCTTAAACGGATCACGTCACTCCTGGTGGTATTAGAAATTAAGGATAATTAGGAGAATTAAGATAGAATGTCGGCGCGTGCGCTTTATTTTCTTTTCGTCGACAACAAAAGGAATTATTTATTTTTCTATTTAGCAAGATCTGCGTTAAATTATATTATTTCGATGGCAGACTGCACGTAAGAAGTATATAAATTAATTAAAGCAGACGAGAAGAGAGCAGCTGGCAAACTCGGAGACCATAACGTAGATTCAGTGACGTTAAAAAATAAATAGGAAAAGATATTGGCACATATAAAGTTTTTTAGATCTTGGGAGATCAATTCTTTATATACGGACATGTAAAGAAATAAAATAATTAAGAATTAGTTCTTATGATAATATTTGTAACAATATAAAATACGAATAAAGTAACAATATAAAATAAGAGAAAAGATACGTACCGCGACAAAAAAAAATAGTATTGTGTAGGCATCACTGTGAAATAAATTATACTGAGAGTGCTCAATCCAGTTCCAGAATAATTTATTTGCGACGTTTCTAGATTTGTGTGATTCTATTTACGTGAACGATCTGAATGAAGTTGCATCACTCTCCAGTTTTTATATAAATGTCTAACTTCCTATATGCTTATTGCTTTGTTATATTAATATTTCAATTTTCATAAAAGTTTAAAGTATAATATATGTATTAATATAATAACCCATATGGGATCTTTTACAGTCATCAATCAATTATATTTAGTACAAAATCGATTGTATACAAATTTGTTGTTATATTCTCAAGATTTCTGATTCTCAAAAACCACTTAAATCAGAGTGTCGAGATATTATGATATTCTGAATTATGTTATTGTTAAATTAGAGAAATAAAATAAAAAATCTGGCGTACTTAATTTTTTGAATCAATTACTGTACACCTCTTCTAGGAAGAGCAGTAAACTAGTTTCCACCCATCTAGAACGCGATTAAATGATGTGTATAATAAGATTGGGAATAGAGCAATAAATTAGCACATAAATTGAAATAAATAGAACTCGATTGGCGACAGTAAGAATTCCAGCTCAATGGGTGAATATAATAATAGATATTACGACATAGATCTAACAAGTGCTGTTTTTTCCACGTTACAGATTCGATGGACGAGCAGCCATATGGTGAAGCCGAGGAGATTTATTGGAAATACCAACAACAAAATGATCAATATACGGGAATATTTGTAGATATCTTAAAGAGATAATTTAATGATAAGAAACATTGTTCCTCGTTTGTTCCTCGTGAGTTACGTACAAAAATAAGTCCTGTACGAAACTTATCAGGAATCTGACGGAGAATATTCACATTGTGAGAACGTAAGATGGGCTATCGTGTGTTGTAAGAAGAGTTTACAGATTCGTTAACAGGTCGCAAAACATTTTGCCAGGTCTCTGCGAGCCAGGAGACGAGTACTAAATCCGACGAGAGCGGATCTAAATGTACTTGTGACTGATCGATTTGTTTTCTCGCATTTTATCCAGATTTAGAGAGATTTTTTTACTTTTTTTATTACGGTGAGTAATAAAACACAATATCAAGATACAATATAACATTCGTTTCCCACTAGATGTTTAATATCTAACTAGTAGGGCCAATTAATCACTTATTTTGGATATTAAAAGTATTGTTAACAATACTGCAATGTCTATTTATTGACAATTTGATTGATTTGTGATTTATTCTTAAAACCAGAAAAATATATCATTGTTCTTATTCAATTTCTGTTAACAGTATCTAGTTTTAACACTCAAAATAAGTGATTAATTGGCTAGAATGTTAAATTTTTATAAATATCATTCCTATGCAAAAATTCAGGTAATGAAATCAAACAGAATTTGTGTTACTGTAACAGAGCATACAATCGCGAAAGTTACGAACGCCAAAAAGATCGTAGAAAGTTTTGGAACACATAGGATGTGTAGAGAGAGAATATTTTTTACGTACAACCGGCATGTACCAAATTACCATGTTGTGTGGAACGTAATTGCGAATTCGTAGTGAAAGCCATTTTCGCAGTGCTAGTAGTCGAGATGTACAATAAACGTGGTCGCGTGAATCCGGTACTCTAAAAGCTGCATGAACCAGAAGAATAGATAAAACATTCAAAATATAATAGCGCTTCGAAATTCTAACGAAAATAATAGTTAACAAATAAAAAAGTTATCGTTCATTTATTGATTATTTACAGATTTGTAAGAGAAGAGGAATCTTTTCTGAACATTTTACATCTAGTCATTTAGATAACCTTTACTTTATAATAACAAGTTTAAACATAAGACTGACGGCATGCTGTATAATTTATTTTATATTGCATTGAGAAGAATTGAAAATGTTGGTTGAAACGTCTGCATATTAATTTAAAATACAATAAAATAAATTTTTTTACGCACCGACAACCGCGTTAGCTCTTTGCCTTTTTCATTTTTCTATAATAAAATATTGTAATATTAATATTAAAATGTAATTTTGGTGTAATAACTGATTGTAGAGGAGAGAATAAAAGGATATTCTTTCTAATTTCTTTTATATTTCCGTTCTTTTTCTACGAGCAACTCCAAATGATAATTTTTGAGTTACAAATAATCGAAAGAAATATAATGACTGATTGTAAAAAAATAAAAGTATATTCTTTTTTATTTCTTTTATGTTTCCGTTCTTTTTCTATAAGTAACTCATAATCAATTTTTGAGCGACTCAAATTGGAATAATAACTGATTGTACTTAAAAATAAAAGTTCTTTCCTTTATATTTCCTTTTTTTTTGACAAGTAATTCAAAATGATAATTTTTTTATTTATATTTTGTTATAGCAAATAAGTAATATGTACAAAATATTTTTAAAAAATTCTATGTTAATGAAAGAATATATTAAAAATTCAACTTACTTATTTACAAGTATTGTATTACGAGAAACAATTAGACATAGGAATTTCGACGTAATGCATGACGAGTCTAACGAATATTCAATATTAAAAATGGTTTTAAAAATATATCAGCCGATCAGCTCAGTTCAGTTCGTGTACTGCAAGAACCGAGGAATTGTACGGCAATTCATCATAATTCACGACGGTATTGTCGCGAAATAGTGAGACATTTACAACGATCCGCTTCGACAATCGAATGGCAAACCACTTGATCGTTTAAAAACAACTTGATCGAATTTAACGTGTAGTCAATATAACAATAATTTATCGGCGTATCGCGCGCGTTCTCAGGCATGCTGTTGTCGAACAATCATTGAGGCTAATCGATTATTCAAAGTAGCCTCTTTACCTCCACTAGAAAAACTATGGGGAAACAATTTAATCGTTCTTGTGCTTTCAGATTTTAGATACTATTGTTTATTTTACGGAAGAGAGGAAATGCAAGCCAAAGTATATAATCGAGAGTATTATCGGCAGTATTTATTACGTTCGCAATTCACGTGGTATTAGTACAGAAGAAACTAAACTTACATATCGCAATCGAGAAGACACATGGTCGACACTCTGTGGGAAAAACGGATGGTGTTTTAGACTCGTAAAGACTTCGATCAAAATTTTCGATTCTCATGTGCCGCGTCAGGCAGAGTTTCGTCATAATGGTGAGTAATAATCGCACATTTTATAAATTAATTTACGCTCTTATGCGCTAGAAAATGTAAAATCTCATTCATTATGCTCGCCATTAAACCATCGTTTCGCTTTACGTAACTCGATATACATAACAAATGCTGTCCATATTGGCGCACGTAATCCAAATAGCATGGTGTGTACCTAAGCGATACATGTACATATATTGTGTAAGCTCGGCAAGCGACTCGCCAAGTCGATAACCTTCGTCACGGTCGAACGTCTTGTGAATCTGCCTGGCTACTCCGGTCCTGTGGTTGTCGAACAAGCGGAAATTCTCGCTCGGTTCCGATTGCCCTTTACAAGATTTACACCGCGCACCCGCATATTGCTGGATCGCGGAATTGTATTGTCATTCATGCAAATTTCGATGAGCGAGCGGGGGAATTACGTTTGCGAAGTTCCTCCCATTAATCAACGTTTCCTATTGCACTTAGGAGATCAGCTCTCGCGTGCAGCGCATCGCCTCAACTCCGCAATCCAATTTATTTCTCGCGTTTCTCGGACACGTGAAAACGTCTGTGACTTCCCGATGAAAAATCGAGGATGCACCACGTTTTTTTCTCCGTTGAACCTGTATAATAAGGATCAACGTCGATATGCATACGTACGATTTTGACTGCGTTCAAAAAAACGAAGCCGTTCTATAAGCGATTGTGATTATTTAATTGTGATTGATTCTTATTTTAAGTTTTTACTGAATCTAAATTAATCGTAAAAAGAATCTCGGTGCGTTCACTAAGCGGTTTTATTTTCTGCACTTTAACTTTTAATATCAATGACAATATGCTGATACTTTATTACACACGACGGGTTTCGTATTTTGTGTCTCGAGTTAATTTTGACTTTTACAAATATATACAAAAATTATTAAGTGATATGTTACATATTTATGAAAATATATTCATTACTATTAACCATATTAAACTAATAATTGTATAATTTTGATTCTTCGAAGCTTCGAACATTGAAGTATTTAATAGTGTGAACGTCATTGTTATTTAGACGTGTTAAGTAACATTTACATTATGAACATTTACATACATGGAAGTTAAAAGTAACAAATGGTTATTTAACTCAAGGGATTAGGTTGCTCCTTTGATATCTAATAACGTGAATGCAGCCATTGTTATCTGAACATTTAATGCACCGCATTACCGTTTGCATATGTATCGCAGGATGTTCTCGCGCGCGACTGACATTGAAAATTAGCATGTAAGATCGGCCGTGTTATGCAGATCAACGCGAGTCTGATGCAACAGGCAAGCTCGTACGTTTCGCGAACGCGAGAAAGCGTTCCTTCAGAAGCGAGAAAGGTCCATCTACGTCTATCATAATGCTTTAATCATAGGCGATCATGGTTGTAAGGAAAGAACTTATCATAAGCATTGTTTGTATAGGGAAAGCGCGAACATGTTAAGGTTGAGAAGAAAAAAAATGACACAATTAAAATTAGATTAGAAACCATTTTTTTTCTCTCTCTTAAAGGACTTAACTTTGAAATAAAATTAAAAAAAATTAAAAAACTTTAACATTAATATGTCGTTTTAGTTAAAATATTAAAAAAGAGAAACCATCTGCTTTGCCCGACTCCGCTGGACAAAGCAAATGGATCACTCGAGCAATGCAAATAAAATTAAAAAAATTAGAATCAGTCTTGGCAATCATCACAAAAGTAGCTATCAAATCTATATGTAGTGCAGCCTTCACCATTTGCTGCAATGACTGCACTAGATTAGTTATAAACAAATCATCATATTACATTATGACAAAAAATAAATAAAAATGAGATGTAAACAAATACGTACTTTTCGTACACTCGAAAAGTCGTCTGTCCCTCTCGTCTGTATTCCAGTTTTATTTTCATTGTAACCATATACCGAGTAAAGAGGATGGATCATCCGCTTTGCCTAAAAAACCTACCTGGCGCAAATTTGGAAAGATTAGAATAAGTTGAAGCACCAAGTGAAAAATTTTAACCTCGAATACACGTTTAAAGACACAGAATTCTTATAAAAAAATCATTCACACTAGTTAAGGAACAATTACAGATAATAATTAAGCTACCTGAGAAAAAATCGCAAGAAAACACTCAATTTTCTATATGTCTCTAAATTAAATACAAACGAATGCAATCATATGTCGTTTCATACTTTCATAGCATCAGTCATTCCTCCAACTGCTAGAGACTCATAGCGCAATCTCAGATAGATAAGCAAAAATAAAAGGTATTCGCTTTACCCAGGGCGTTCATTTTGCTCGGGCTTCCCTACATAAAATCGCAATGCGTTATAATTACGTTCTGTGTTGTACAATAATTAATCTGTCAACGGCTAATGTTTTATCATAAAGAGAATTAAATTAATTATTGTGTGTGCTACAACATTTATAATACAATTATGTTTGCTAAAAAAAATTGTAAAAAAATAATAATGAGAAAATAAGTTGACATATATTATATTAAACATAAATTATATACATACATCCCAAATTATACTTAAAATAACAGAATCACAAAAGAAGAGTAGAATGTATTACATATAAGATGTTGCCAATATATTTATAAATACTCATTTCTTCATGTTTCGAGAAGATTGTCTCATTAGCTATCGAAATGCCACATAAGCATCGTAAGTGATTGTAATCAGTAATTGTAAGAATTGACCAATCACAGTTGAATACGAGAAGAATATTCGATAATAATTTGTCAATTCTTATAATTACAGTAACTTAAAACTACGTTCATAAAAATGTAGAATGGGATTTAGTACGTCGTTTATATGAGAAATAAGCTTAAATATAAAAAGTAAGAATAAGAAAGCGATCAATCATAGTCGATTAATTTTCTCACATCCGATTGTGAAAGGTCAATTTCTTACTCTTACTTTTTATACTCTTACTTTTTAAGTTTACTCCGCATATTGTAGACGACACATAAGAGGCTTTTTACTTTAAGCCAAACTTTAAGTCATAAACCATAAGAAATCCATCAATCACGGTCGAATATGAAAAGAATAATCTATGATTAGTTAATTTGTTACGACTTAATATTTAGACTTATTGTAGAAATTCTATAAGAAATTGAGTCAACTCGTACGCTTACGATAACAACAAGCATTACAATCGTAAAGAGCTTATGATAGATATTATAATAGATGTAGATGAGCCTTTAATGATGCGAACTAGTTCGTAATGCAGATCGAAGGTATCTCAGAATGCGATCCCGCAGGTTCATCGACTCTGGTAGTGACAATCAAACATGAGGCACAGTATCCGCCTCATAGAGGAGTAACAGGAACTCCCCGCCGTCCGTCTACGACAGGATTGTGTTACCAAGCTGGAGAGATAATGTTCCGTAATTGCGCGTCTCGTGCAAATATCAAGCAAATACGGTAGTATATCGTTCGTGGTGCAATTAAAATGGTATCGCGTTTCGTTTCCGAGTGATAAGCGACGTGGCTGCGTGCTCGCGCGGTAATCGTTATGAAAAACGGGCGGATCAAGTGAATGAACCTAACGAAAATTAATGCGTGCAAGAGAGCGCTGGGCGTTTAAGCATTATGCTTCTAGCAGCCGTTCCATCATCGCGCGGAATATTGAATAGTTCTGCTATCCTTATAAAACCAGTTCCGTTCCTTTCTTAGAATACCATTCTCTTGTCTTCCTTCAGAACGAATCAATCTCAATTGTCTGTTTGATGTAATTATCGGCACAATCGATCGCGATTGCGTTTCGATGTCGGCGCGTAAAGAAAAAGATGGTGGGTGTTCGCGCGTAAATCCGATTTTGGATTAAGGCGATGGGAAACAAAGAGCGAATAATGTATTTTCGACTGCCGCGAATAAATATTTCTTTCTCTCTCTTACAATCCTTGAAACGCAACGTAAGGATTCACGTTTATACTTTCGGTTGATTCATTAGTTAGAGCGATCGCAGAATTCCGCTGTAAATTCCACGACTTGATGGTTTCTATTCGGGGCATCTCTCTTCACCGCTGGAAACGACGGGTGCGCGTTCGCTAATATCCGGTTCCTAGCAATTAATCGACTTTTATTATTTCCATTGATTACAACTTAAATTATTACGAGAGAACTCATCTCCGCGATCTTCTCGTCACGAACAAAACAGCGCGGTGCCAATATTCCAGCGGATCGCAAAAATCTTATTTCGCGTTCTATGCTGCTGATACGAAGAAAAGTTTACTCCACACGCAGATTGTTGTTTCCGCTTTCGTCGTCCGCAAACTTTACGATTTCGCGAACGATCTAAATCTGTCGCTATTTAATTACGCGGAATTATTAATCGGAATATAAAACTTGCGAGATAATAATTAACTCCCTTCAGAATTGATGGTGCTTGTTGATCAATTAAATCGCTTTATTAAAAACGTTGAATAATTGAAAAATGAAAAAAATATCTGAATAAAAATGGACAAATCAGAAGATTCTAATCTTATCAATCAGAATCTGATTATCTTTAGAATTATGATAGATTCAATTAGAAAAAATTTTGATTTATCCATTTTTATAACTAGAATTTCAATTAATGCAACAAGACTCTTTTTTCAATTCAATTTTTTTCTATATTAAATTGCAAATTTGGATTATTCTTATTAAAATTTACAAGGGTACCATCAAAACCGTCACTCACCGATTCCCCAGGTAGAACTTCCCCAAAACAGCACAAAAGTTGCAGCAATATTGCAAGTTTTGTGCTGTTGGGGTTAATACATGTATTAGACCCATATTTTTTTATTTGCTTAGCTCAAAGTTTAGGAGTCAAGCAATCCCTGAAAAATAATTTCGCTTTTCTCAGCGAATATCTTCTAAACTAAGATATATGAAGAAATGTTTTATACAAAACTTTGATGGTATTATATACTTTTAATAATATATTTATAAATATGTTATTAAGAGTACGATACCATCAAACAAAGTTGTTTGATGTATTTACATTTTTCAAAAATGTTAAA